GTTCACCAGGGCAATTCGAACTCCGTCAAAGGTGCTAGCACACTCCTTGAGGGTCAGGGAAGCTCCCCCACCGATTGGATTAGCTCGATTTCTACTCAAACTCAGCATCCAATTCGGGCCCAATCACCTCTGCAAATGCTCCTGTACGAGCAGAATTCGACCAAATGGGTTGGAGCAGCTGGGGGTGAATCGACGCCAACCAACGATGCAGCACCATTTGGCCATGAAGTCCGAAGCTGTAGGAAGCTTCAATTGCGCTTGAAGACCTCTGAAGAAGAAACGCCTAAATCGAATTCAGCTCTTTGGGAAGCAGCTCATTTGAACTCGGCTTTGGGCGGGAACGAGGAAAGTGACGATTCGACGATGCTGAAGTTGGGTCGAGGCATGGGAAGGGTACAGATGTTCGATTGTGAGTACCGTGAAGCTCGTGAAAGCAGTGAATTAGATTGGCGCGGCCTCAATCGGAATTCCCCAATTGATGCCCTAAAGAACACCGCCCCAATTTTCCAGATTCGCCAGTTCGAGAGGCCAACTTTCGACACGATTTGGGGTCAATTCTGTGCAAGATTTGAGAAGCGGAAGGAACAAGCTTTGAGGACAAAGCTTTTTGAAGAGGGAGGGCTTGATGCAACCCTGGATTGCTTCATAGCCAAGCGGGAACTACTTGTTCAAGAAGGTAACCCAATTCATCTGAACAATGTGGAATTTTGGTTAAGTCTTTTAACGAGTTCAGATAGGGTACTTTGGGGACTTGGTTCTTCTGATTGGGGCAATGGAATGGTGAGTTTGGGATCTTGTTTTGAATTTCAAGTCCTCTTGTATAAGCTGGAGTGTCTGGAAGCTCTAGGTGATATGTGGAAGGTCAATTTTCGGGCTCAACAAAAGGCTATCAACACACAGGAAAACTGCCAAATTCTGGCTAAGTATGAAACCATGTTCGGCATAACAACTTTGGGCGACAATTCTGGGAAGATGGTTGAGAGTTGGGATCAGTGGTTTCCTCCACATCAAACTACAAGTTTCAGGATACAACGAAGAGGGATTGGCTGAGTGATTTGGTTCTTAGAAGCACTCGAACGAAGCGTCCAAAGATCGTGTCGAGGCCACTGTTTCTGACTTTGGAAATCAGCAATCCTTGTGGGATTGGAATTCACAGCTTGTTTACGTTTGGTTTCCTTTCCATGTACGGTTGTGCTCTTTTGGGTTTTAAGTCAAGTTGTAATAGGTTTAGGATTTCCTTCCTTGTTCAGTACTCTAGCTAGGTTCTATTTAAGGTTAAGATTGCGTTGTAATTGAATGAAGTTTTAATCGAAGAACACGTTTTGTTCATTGAGTTTTATCTCGTGAATTGTCCTTGTTTGCGTGGATTGAATTCCATCAATCAAGCGAGCTCGTATCAATTGAGTACGCACCTCAATTGTGGTCGAGTTGCTACCACAGATTCGATCGAGCCTCTTCCTCAACACGGCGAGAAGTTGCACGGTTGAACCATCTCGTCACTCTGTTTTTTTTTTAATCAAGATCGTCCCAAATCCTATTCCGAAGAATCGAACGTCTTAAGCCGAGGTTTGGGTCATATCAGCACCGTAGATAATCCTGCTGATATGTTCACGAAGCCGGTTCCACATGGCAAGTTCCAACACTGCCTGGACTTGCTGAATGTCTTGAGTGGGTGACTCCACCCTGTGGGGCATTGATGGCGGGAGAGAGAGAGAGAAGGAGCAGAGTACATCAGAGATTTCAGAGGAAGAGGATTCAAAGATTTGTTGATGTGACTTGAATCGGACTATCAACCGCTACGATGGTGTATGGGCTCAATGTTATTTGGGTTCGGGTTCTGGGCCTGGTCTGTAACCGTTTCCTTTGCTAGATTGGATTAGGTTTAGACCCACATGGAGAAGCACTATAAATACTTCTCATACTCCTCTGTAATCTCCTCAATATAGTGAAACTGGCTCTCTCTCGCCCGTGGACGTAGCTAACACACATCGTGTTAGTGAACCACGTAAATCGTGTGTCGTGTTTTCAATTCTCGCTTTCGTATTCTTTCTTTGTCGATTCCAGCGACTTCCCGATCCGTAGCAGTGCGTTTATAACAGCCCAGTTCCACAAAATCCCCTTCCTGGTCCCCCCTCTCCAACCAACCTGCTTCTCCCACTTCCCTGGCCCCGCCGCAGCTTCGTCAGATTGTTCACCCGTCTCGCCGACGACGGGATTCATGTCCGTTGGGGGCCTGTGCCATTCACGCACCCTGCCACTATGATGGATGGCTGTAAGGAACGAGATCCCCTAGAGAATTTGTAGGCTTATGGCTCAATTGTCAATTGCCAAGGAAATGGGTTGATCTCCATGTTGAGTTCCTAAACTTTGGTTGAAAACCAAATTAATTAATAAAGGAAAAGAAATCTCAATCGACAGAGCAGGAATAGAGAGGGCAAGTGACATCGTCGGAGGAAGCGGCCTGACTACTGCAAGAGAAGCATCGCCTGCCGGCGGCGAAGGATGGGGAGGAAGAGGGATCCAAACAGAGGGATTCGCCACCGACCTCATGTACTCCTCTATGACGTCATTCTTTGCCTTCCTCACGAGATCCAAGGCGAATCCGAGCGGGTTCTGGCAAAGGTCTCCAGCGGTCGCCAATGTCGCTGAAAACGCGAACGCGTTGCCGTAGTACCCCTAGGCAACGGCAGCTGAACCTCTAGCGCGCATCTCCTCTTTAGGGTTTGGTTAGAGGGCGACGATCCAACACTTCCAGAGGCAAGCGATGAGAATCTCGAAGCTGGAGCAGGAATCGCGAAGTTGGGGTGGCGCGTCGTCTCTTTCCACTGCCTATCGATTAGGGGTTTCTCACCTTCCTCCCAAGCTCGGTATGATAGAAGCAAATGGTGAGATTGAGCTTGCGGGAGAAAGGCGGCGGGTATGGCGAACAGTGGTGGGAGTCGGAGGCAGTGGTCTGGCTTCATCCCTTCCTCGTTGCCGGTGAACTATTGAAGAAGGAAAAGGAAGAAAGTTGGGAGGAGAAAGACGACACTTTAGGGATTTAATTTGAATGAGTCGGTTCTTGAGTAGGGTTGAGCTAAATGGTTGGATTGGGATCGATGACATGGCGGGTCTTAGTGATATGGCAGGTCAAATAAGGTGATGTGGCGGATTAAAATTGGGCGAGTCAACATTTCTGTTAGCCACGTCAACAAATGAATAACGGTGTTAACAGAGTTAGACGGAGACTAACGAAGAGTGACCAAACATGGACTGTTAAACTAATCTTAGTAATCATTATTGGAATTAAATATTTTTAGTAACCAAACATGCAATTAGAATTTGCTTAAACTCCATATAAAGTTCATCCACCTTTCTTATCATTCTAAGTTAACTATGTGTACTCTATATATTGTGGTCTATACCACATCACAACTGTTTTAAACCAATTAAAAAAATTAGGGTAGACCATACTTTACACAAATGCAAATTTCTCATATGGATGTATGTTGACTTTTGTGCACATTTCTTTCATAAGCTTGTGAATTCAGAGAATGGATGAAAATTCAATAATGGAGATTCTTAATAGAGGTGTATTAGAGATTTGAGTGTCAATCCACATCGTAAACATGAGCATGACGATAACATGACAAAAAATATGATCAAAATAATATATATGGAGAAAAAGACCTTACATATATAGTACATTCAAATTTCGTTAAAAGAAAATATGTGCAAATAATTCATCAAACAATAAATATGTAAAACATTATGGTGATGGTTGACTTAAAGCAAATATTTAACCATAACACAGAGTAATAGTCTTTAAATGGTTTGACCTGTTTTGACTCGCATAATACAAAAGAACAATGATCCATACTGACCTCATCATTCATTATTCATACCGATTCTTATCACAATGCATCAAAACCCTTATACCATATCCACCCCACTTACTACTTAAGGGTTTGTTTAAACCCATTGCATTTCATCCGACTCGTTCATCACTCTCCATACTCACAATAACTCTGTACACCAGTAGGGATGTCAATCCAACCCGTAACCATGGGTACCCTACCCGACCGTAACCGGTCAACGAGGGTAATTACCCGCTTTGACGGGTTAAGGGGCGGGTACGGGTAATACCCGGTTTCAAAATAAAGGGTAGGGTACGGGTATGGTAATCGATAATACCCGCCCCGTTATACCCGCCCCGCTAACCAAATGGTCAATTTCCCTTGGAAAATTTAGATTAGCTTGAGAAATTGAGTTTAGCTACCATTATTGATGATGAAGATGTAGACGATTATTATGTTTGTGTGGATTGTAGAAGCAAAAATAATTATTATGTGTTTGCTATTTTTATTTGTGTGGATTGTTGAAGCTAGAACAGTTACAAGTATTGAGAATTTTTAATGGACAACACAACAGTATGTACGTGCATATATGTGTATAAGTTCATAGTTTAGGATTCGTACCCATGGTTACCCGAATGCCCGTGGTTACCCGGTGGGTAGGGTATGGTTATATAATTTTCATACCCGGTGGTTATTTGGTCGGGTATTTTAGAAGGTTCTACCCGGCGGGTTAGGAGTTGGTATAGGGTAAACCCGCACCCGACCCTACCCATTGCCATCCCTATACACCAGGAACAATCGATCCAACTCGACCGACCACCCGATTCAACATGCGACTTACAACTTAAATTTGACCTAATCGACCCGAGATACATTAACGCTTTCCATATTCCCTCCTCAATCGGTATCCAAATTCATTGCGCCCCCTCCCTCGTGGATTCATAATGGTGACTCTTAATTACCCTCCCATCCAAATTACCCCAAATTGATCATTAAGCTTATATACCTTAAATTCCTCCTTTCCCTTCTCTTTCACTCTCCCATACCACACTTACCTCTTCCTCTCCTCCCTCTCCCACCCATCCTTAAACTACAAACCGTACCATTTACCTACAACGCCTTCTCTATAACAACACCCTAAAAGAAGCACAAAAAAGGTTAACAATGGGGAAGGTCACCAATTGCACCTCTCCTCCTCCTCCTCCTCCTCCTCCTCCTCCTTCTTCTTCTTCTTCATACTTGATCCCAATCCTTTGTTCAGCTTTCCTCCTTCTTCTTCTCTACCTCTCCACCTTAACTTCACCAATAATCAACTCCCTAATCCCATTTCCTTCCTCCAACCAAACTCTCACCAACAATAACCATACTACATCACAACAAAACCCTCTTCAGCGGCGCTTCTCCTCTCTTCCGGCCGACGACGAGGCCGCCGGAACAAACCCCGGCGACGTTTCAGTTCCCCGGGCCAAGGTGAGCAATGTGCATATTTGAGTGTTTTCATTGATTAATTAGTGTTTGACTTACGGTAATATATAGTGCATGATGAAATTGTCTTGTGATTAGACGAAGAAGAAGAAGAAGAAGAGGAGGATTAGTAATGGGTTGGAGAGGATCGAAGCCGGATTAGCGGCGGCTAGGGAGGCGATTAAGGAAGCGATTAGGAGCAAGAATCACACGTCGGATAGAGACGAGGCGTTCGTCCCGAGAGGCAGCATTTACAGAAACGCTTATGGGTTTCACCAGTTAAGTTCTTTTTTCTAATTACTCTGATTAGTCTGCCTTTTGCATAATAATCAATGCGAAACGTCTCTAAATATCGTATTCAGTGTTTACACGTTGTTTTATTTTGGGGAAAGAATGAAATGGAAATAAGTAGAACTTGACTGATGACTCGTTGTCTAATTTGGAAAACTCGTTCTCGGATTAGGACATACGCATTGATTTTTTTTTTTCTTTTCAAAATCGCATATTTTTCTTCTTCTTTCTGTCATAGGTTTCGGAAGACGCATTTCGAACAAAAAGGCAGATCAATACTTAACGAAATAACCTACCTTTACTATATAAAAAAAACGCCTCCGTTACTTAAAGTGTAAATTAGTGACAATTCTTTTGCTCCATTGGTCATGGTTGTACTCAACATGTGTATAGCATTCATTGCGATAAGTAGTACGGTTAAAGTTTTATTCAAAGTGGTTTTCGATTAAGTGTATAAAACTTTAACTTGGTGAAATTTAATTCAATGTACTCATTAAAATGTTGTCGTTTATTATCGATAATTTTAGACAATAAATTGTGTTAGTTTCTGTTTACAATGATGAAATTCATAAATCTCATCTTCCTACGGTGATAATAGAGAGGTGAAGGAATTGTGTACCATTCGAAAAAATCTATGAATTCAAATTCTCGGGTTTTTTCATTAAAACGGTAAAGTCTGTTAGTTTTTCCGCTGAAGCAAAATTTAAATACAATTCCAATGTCCAAATTCTTTCATTCAAAACATTCTAAATTACAATTCGCTCAAGACGAGCTCTAGAGTAAAACTAATATCTTATTGAACCTAACTTCCTTGTTGATTGAGATTAAAATGTGTTATAAATCATAATGCAAAGTTATATATCTATCGTTTAATAGCCAAACTTACTTTAGTTTTGAACCGTGTGGAGTGTGGAGTGGTAAAAAGTAACGCGTATCCTTAAGTAGGATTAATGCTTAGCATAGTAAATGCTGATCCACAAAATCCCAATGTCATTTATAGTACAACTTTTCTAATTACCATACGAACTATTTATATGCATATAGCTAGGAATATGCCCTCCTCCAAAAATGGAGAGGCATGCCTTTTTTTGCTTTCAAACTTACCAACTTTATTACTATGATTAGTGGCAAAGCTACGTACCCTCAACCATGCCTTGATCAATGCTCTGAAAAATCTCAGTGAGATCTCACTAACTTAGAGGTAGTATTGCATTTTGGGAAAGGGGAATTAAACTTTGACTGTCACCTTTACGCTACCTATTATGTCTTTTTTACCTAATGTGGGAATTACAGTTCAGAAACAACATACAAAATCACCTTTCTCTGTTGATTTTACAACATGGTGCCAGGGTAAAAGAGGTTATAAATAGCAGTTTTGTCTTCAATTCGTTCACTAAATAGCAATAAGTATAAGAAGGAATACAACATGTCAAATAGAATTTTATTTACAAATGTCACCGCAATATCCAACGATCGCGGAGCGCCCAACGCGTGATTGGATGACTGCACGTGGTGTAAGGTCCTCCTTATAAATGGCATAGTAATGACTATAGCCAAATAACATATCTTGATGCCCCTCTCTTTCTTAACAATCAAGCTAATATCGAGTTTCCATTGGACTCTATCTACCCAATTCGATGGATTTGCTTGTTTCATCCATCCAAACGCCACACAGATATACATGGACGTCACTTGTAGTCGATGACAATATATTTTTTAGTAGTTGGGGAAAAGGTTAAAGTTTCTTTTGGTTTTGCTTCTTTTTCTCACTTGTTCAACATAAAGGGTGCACCAAAAGACATTCATTCATTCATCAGAACTCTATGTTGCTTCATTTTCTTGTAACCTGCTCAATACTTTTAGTCGGGAATGGGAGCAAATTAAAACCTAACCCTTTTTCCTTTCTTTTCCCCTCCGTCACCGCAGGAGCCACATCGAGATGGTGAAGCGATTCAAGATCTGGACCTACAAGGAAGGCGAAAGGCCCCTGGTCCACGCCGGGCCCATGAAGAACATCTACTCCATCGAGGGCCAGTTCATCGACGAGATCGAGACACCAAAAAGCCCATTCTCGGCCCAAACCCCCGACCAGGCCCACGCATTCTTCCTCCCCGTCAGTATCGCCCAAATCATCACCTACATCTACAAACCTTTTACCACCTACGACCGCGACAGGCTGGTCCGGATATTTCGGGACTACGTCCACGTGGCGGCGGCGAAGCACCCTTACTGGAACCGGAGCTCCGGCGCCGACCATTTTATGTTGTCGTGTCACGATTGGGCGCCGGAGCTGCCGCGGTACGACCCGGAGCTGTACGAGAACGTGATACGGGTGCTGTGCAATGCCAACAGGTCCGAAGGGTTTCATCCGGTTAGGGATGTGACGATGCCGGAGCTCAACACTCCGCCGGACAGGCTCACGCCGGAGGTTCGGGACTGTTCGTCGCCAGGGAGACGGAAGACGCTCGCCTTCTTCGCCGGCGGGTCGCATGGGTACATTCGTAAGGTAACATCTCTTGTGCTAAGGGTTACCCCTGGTTTATATTGAGTGTCGTAATAAGAATTCGAAACCATGATATATGAGTATAGATCGCAATTGACTGGATTGGATCGAGTTTCTTTAGACAATTAGACCAAAATCAACCTATGGAAAAAAAAAAATCCTGATAAAATATCAATTAAATTTTAGTAGTGAAAATCCAACCAACCCAACTGATACCTACGATTGCATAGGTACCCATGAGTTCATGAACACAACCGTACATTCGTAATGTTATTCAATTTTTTCTAAAAATGTATCTTCACAAAGACTAATAGTATCAATAAGTTATCCATATTATTAAGTTTATATCGTTATAAAAACTAATAACATTCACATTCATATAGTTCTAGTTAGATACAAATTAACATCGTTTTGGGTTTATGATTATGGGTCGGGTGGAAAGTGGAAAGTCCAACTCAACCCGTGAATTTCATTCCTTATTGTGGGTTCGGGTTGGATACTCGTGAGTTCCTGCTGGGTTTATTTGGGGTTCCTGTGAATTTCATCCCTACTCGTGGCTTCGGATTGGATACTTGTGGGATGAGGTCCAATTGCATCCCTACTTAGTGGCCGAAAGCTCTGATATCATTTAACGAACAACCCATTCCGTACCAATAATTCAAATTGTTGAGAAAAGATTTGTATGAGCTATATTTTATTTCTTTTTATTTTACAGGTGCTGCTCGACCACTGGAAGGACAAGAACGACGCAGATATTAGGGTTCATGAGTACTTGAACAAGGGCCAGGACTACATGAAGCTGATGGGACAGAGTAAGTTCTGCCTGTGCCCTAGCGGGTACGAGGTGGCGAGCCCGAGGCTGGTGGAGGCCATGTTCGCCGGCTGCGTTCCGGTGATCCTCTCGGTGAACTACAGCCTGCCGTTCGATGAGGTTTTGGATTGGACAAAGTTCTCGGTCGAGATTCCGGTGGAGAAGATCCCCGAGATCAAGACCATATTGGGGAATGTCTCGGAGGAGAGGTACTTGGAGTTGCAGAGGAATGTGGTGGAGGTGAGGCGGCATTTCGAGCTGAACCGGCCGGCAAAGCCGTTTGATGTGTTGCACATGGTTCTTCATTCTATTTGGCTTAGGAGACTTAATGTTAGGCTTTCTAGTTAGTGATTGACACTTTGACATGTGACATGTGACTTGGACAAGTTTTGGGTCACTCTTACACACATATAGGAGGAAACACATTTGAATATAGAGAAGTTCAGGTTTTGTGATTGTAAACTTAATTACTTTTTGCATTACCTAGAACTATATATTTAGAGATACAATTTCATTGTTGAAAGTATGAAGACGAGCAACTTCAAGATGATTTTTTGTGTGTTTTGGAGGAGAGATACTTGAATTCCTATCATATATTTTCTACAGTTTCTCTTGGTAAGTGAAGACACACTTGGTAAGCGGCTGCTGATCCATAATAATTTATAACTCAATTTACTTGAGGTAAAAAAATTCCCACCACGTTGCATGGCCTAGGTTCAGGTCCTTAAGCCTTAAAGTTTAAGAAGTTCCTTAAGTGAATTCTAGCCATTAGATTAATCTAAATTAGTTAGGAAATAGTTATTGGTTATTAAGTAGTTATTAGTTATTTATGGTATTTGGGGTATTATAATAAATTTAAAACTGAAAAAAGAAAGAATTTTTGGCCGGCCTTTTTATTTGAGGGTAAGGGTTTTCGTTCTTTATTTCTCAAGCTTCCCGTCGTCCACACAAGCAGCTCACCGTCAGCTTCACGCCGTTCCTTTTCCGTTGAGATCGATCTTCCCATATTGTCCTCACCACTAGCTTGTCGCCATCCATTTCAGCAATTTCCCGCTGTTGAGCTTGAGCTTCCCATCGTCTTTAAACAGCAGCACGCGGTCATCCCTAGCAGCAGCTTCCCGACGTAATGAAGCATTTTCCGGTGAGCGTCGGGGTCCTGTTGCCCAATCGGTTGGCTTTTGGTGCTTGCTTGGCGAGTTGGACGTTCAGCTTCCTTGGATGTGAAGAAGGTAGGTTCTGTTCTGAATAATTGACATCACCATTAACGTTTTTAGGATGTAGATTGCACCACTATCATTGTTTTAAATTTTAATGTAGTTATTAATAATTTTTTATATGGTTTATCAGAATAGGTATGGTCATTATTAATCATTTAGTTTGCATTAGTAAATATATATACAACAGTGTATTTCTAATGTAATTGGTAATATTAACAAATTTACTAGGGACCCAAATTTGTTAGCTATCATAGTATTATTGATGAATTATCAACGGTATAATGAAACATTATTATTATATGATGTATTGTTAACAACTTCGATCAAGTTGTTTTTCTAAATTTGTTATATTATTAACGTTTATGCGAAGCATCGTTAAGAATATATTGTCATATTTTTAACATTTGCTAAATAATTTTTTGGCTATTGATAATCACCGTTTTTTAAAGTATTAATGATTTTCGAGAAATTGTTAAGATTGAAACATTATGTTATCAAAGTTTACACTATTAACATTTTTTAGCCAATTATTAACAATGAAAAATGTAACATTATCAATATTTATGAGGGGTGTTATTAACAATCTACAGTCATAATTATTAACGTTTTGCACAATAGTTTAGTATATTTGAAATACCCATTATTAACGATATCTCTTTTTTTCTTCTTCAAGAATGGAGTGCTAAAGATGAAGAATATATGGAGGGCCGAAGTGTAGACAAAGTGGTACAATCGTGGTCTTTCTTCTCTTGAAGAATGGAGCGCCGGAGATGTAGACGCCGGGTGCGAAATGTGGAGAAGGGTTATTAAAATTATGTTTTAGCTAGGTTAGGTTTTTATGGAATATGGGTGCATGTACGTGGGATGAAAAAACTGGAGTTTCCATTTTTTGCAAATGAGGTTAATTATTAATGAAATTAATTATTTTCCTTATATCATTATTTGGTAGTTATACCTCATCTTCTCTCTCATCTTTCTATTGGCCACCAATTACTTAAGAAACTCCTTAAGCTTTAAGTCTTAAGGACAGGATCCAACCCGACATTGCACTCTCTCGAAATTTTCTTCTATTTGCCAAATAGGCTTTCCAGCTGGTGGTTGCACTCGAAAACCTAAGAACACAATTGATACAAAACCTAAATTAGAGATGCTTTGTTGCGTATAGGTGAAAAAAAGATATTAAGCTCTACCCGACAGAGTTGACCCGGAAACAGACGCCCTTGTAAAAGGATGTACATCACTTGTGAATAAATTACACGTTTGGTCACTTAATTAATTAAATTTTTTCATATTTGCCACGTGCAAAATTTTCCTTTCCTATTGGTCACTAAAACAAATTTAGTTAAACTTTATGTCTTGTTCCATCGATGTTCACTCGTCGTGGATGCAAAATATGAGCCTTTTTGGTGTACTGAGCAGTGGGCAATGGGTGATTAAATGCGATATTTACCCCTTAGCTTGTACGGCTATTTCCCCGTTAAACACTGTTTCGCAAGCCAGAGAGCGCACCACGCCATTAATACAGTCTCACCCAGTGGCGGATACATGGTGCTTGGAAGTTGGAACACGATTATCTAACCCCCGGTAGTAGTTTCGTATAGATAAACAAAATATAATTGGTAATTTGGGACACCTCAAAAATTTTAATAAACGATTATCTTACCCTCGATAGTAGTTTGCGTATGATTAAAAAAATATAAGTGGTACTCTGTGTTATTTAAATCTAGGACACTCCTATTATTAAACATCTTCTCCGTTAGGTTATAACTCATTTGTTGTTCTATTTTAAACACTATGTAATGGTACAAACGCGATTTCTTATCCCTAGGGGTACCCCTAATTTGAATTGATTTTATGGTTACACTGTAAGTGTTGAAACAGTCTTTTCAACTTTGAATTACATCATGAATAAGGTTAGAAATTGAATATGCGATCTAGTAGGATATACCGATTTGTTGAGCAGTATAGACACCAAATCTATTATATATTTTTTTCGAAATATGAAAATACATCGTGGCTTTATGTCAACATTTGTACTAATTGGATATTTTATTATTTATGTATTATTAAATTTAATTATTAATATTTAATTTAATTTTGGAAGAAGACACCTCTATAAAAAACTGAACTTCTATTCGTCGCGCTAAATTTTCAAATAAATCGCCCTAAATTTATTGAATGGACAATTTTACCCCAACTTAAAAAAAGTAACCCTAACCTAAACTTACCCTATTTTCTACTCGCCCCACAGCCCCACTCCCAGCAGCAGCCCGCCGCCTCCTCCCCCCTTCTTTCCATTTCAAACGAAGACCAGCCATCTCCCTGCATCTCCGCCGCCCTTCCATCTCTCTGCAACGTCGCCGCCCTTCCATCTCCCCAGCAACGCCGCCGACCGCCCAGAATCTCCGACGATCCACGCCTTCCTCTGCTCGCCATTGTCGTCGTCGCCGGGAGAAGGTGAGTCGCCCTTTCTTCCGTTCTTTCCACCTTTTTATTTTATTTTCGTGAATGTAAATGGGGCGGGTGGAAAACCTGCTGCCGCCGGGCAAAAGACATGTCTTCGACGTAAGACCAGCTTATTCCCAGGCCCGGATCTGGGGTGAGGCGGGCAGGGTATCCGCCTACATCGGGCGTTGGCTGGGTCGCCAACCCGCCCCGCCCTGATCCAGTCGGGTATCCGACCCGCCCGACCCGGTTCGGTCTGGTTTTCCAACCGGCCCGGTTTTGTTCTGCCCAATTTTTTTTATTGATTTAAATGCATAGGTTTATGAACTGTTGATTTTAATTAATAATAATTTTGAATGATTATTTATGCGACATACATTAGAATGTGAATTTTGATCAACTTGATTTGAATTGTTAATTATAATTAGCATGATGTTTTGTTATTTTGACAATATAAGTAGTATTCAATTGATAAACTTTATGATTGTTAATGATTATAAGGAATAGTTAAAAAGTTTAGGATGATTAATAATAATTCTGAAAAAAATTATTTTCTTGATAGTTGGTAAAAATGAACGAAAGAAAGGGAAAGTCGAGGGTTGTCGGACGCAATGTTACTGGATCTGAGTGGAGAAAACGTCAGGAGGAGAAGGATAGAGCTCTTGAGCTGGAGCGTCAGGAGAAGCTTGCTCGTCAAGCTGTAGTTGATCCTGCCCCCTCTAGCCATGATTCTCGACAGATGCGAGTCATCAACACATATGACGACTTGGTGGAGGATGCCACGAGCAGTGATGATGAGTGTGATGAGGGTGATGAGGAGGGTGATTTGTTGTCGTTTCCTGATGCTTTTTACCAGGGCCATCTTGTGGGTTCGAGCGATCACGTGTCTACTAGCTCGACCCATGTTAGTACTTGGGTTGGGCCGCTACGTGGTAAGGATGGGCGTTTTGCTTCATCATCTAGTGGGAGCATCCCTTCACGGAAGAAGTTGGTGGATCAGACATGGCTGCTTACAGGAGCAGGTCCTGGGGGTCCGAGTGACCACATTTTGATCCCTAGTTTCGGTGGTCACATAAGCCATCATTTGTGGACTTTGGGTTTGGATTTTCGAGTGATGTCTAAGTATCAGTTCTACACTCGGCAGGGTGGAGTGGATCGACTGAGGTTGTACAAGTTCTCGACTCCACGTGTAGAGAACTTGGTTAGGGCATCTAATTTGTACTACTTGAGTAGTTGCATGATGCATAGTGACTCGCTATGACACAACTCCTAACAATGGCCAAGTGTAACCACTGAAAGGGACTGCAGTATAGTGGCTCAAGTAATAAATATCGAATCCACGGGTCTCTAGAGTTACTATTACTCAGCTTCAGTTCATTATCTAGCAAAACAGATTAATATGAAAGAACTAAAACTACTCTAGCAAACTACAGTTAAAGTTAATCTAATTACAGGTTGGGAACTCACTTAGGTATGATTCCCCCTAGCCACTAGCCAGATTAACGATTGATGATCTCTAACTTGTTTCACTTTCATTCACAATGCGGAGAATCCTTGACTAGACCTTGAGTCTCGACTAAAGGAACAAGGCCCTCTTGAGTCAATTGCCTAGAGGGACGTATCCTTCTCTAGAACAATCGATCAAGGCATTCTGAACTAGACTCCCTCTATCGAATGAGGTTCTCAATCGATACAAAGCAGTGAATCAACCCTCGACTAAAGCAATCGATCCACTACTATCAATCTATGGTGCTCTATTGACCTAATCAGGTATTCGCTCTCATAGGATCAAAGCAGAATCAATAATCTCGACTAAAGCAGAATTGAATCGTGAAAACATGCATAGATTGAATATGAACTCAAGATTATCAAGTCATAGTACTCATACAATCATCCAATCAAACAAACATAGCTAGGGTTCCTCAAAACCTAAGTGAAGGGAAGTTACTCCATAGAGAAGAGAGAGACTGCAGTAAGAATCTTCAGATGATCAGTCTTCAAGTCCGGGCTTATTCCTCGAGCTTCCAAGGCGAAGAAATCCTCCAATTCCACTCCAAGAATGCCCTCAAATCGCCCTCTCTTTCTTTGGTTCGTCCCTTGGGTGTTTGGGATCCAAAACCCAGCTCTCCCTTGCAAAAACGCACAAAACAGGCTTTTAACAGCCTGTGTCCGCGATCCCCGGTCAGAATACCCGGTCGGGTATTTAGGGAACCGGTCGGGTATCAACAAAATGCTCCGGGTCACTATTCTGGGTAAAAGGGAAAATACCCGGTCGGGTATTTTTAGTACCGGTCGGGTATTTTTGGTTCACGACCGGGGGGCCTTCTGATGCTGCCAAAAATCCCCTATCAGATGGCCAAAAATACCCGGTAGGGTATTATGGTTGGGTATTTTGCAGTTCCGGGTCCCCTATCTTTGAATCTTCGTTTCTCCCTCGTTCGGACTCCAAATCAGGTGCCGTTTGATCCCAGACGTTCGTAGTCTCGTCCTCTTTCTTCTTATGACAAGATTACATGATTATATGGTCACAAAAGGAGGTAGAAATCCCTTCTTCTTCAAGTCATACCCGAGTTTCTTCCCCCGAGTCGCCAGTTGATCTCTGATTGACTTGAAACTTGCGCCTACGCTTCACTTTATGTGCTAGGACCTGAAATATGACAAAGGAACACAACCTAGCATAAAATAGGCCAAAGAAGCAATAATGCAAGCTTAAACTATCAAGAAACAAAGGGGAAAACATGTGCAAATATCGAGTCATCACATAGTGTGGATTACCCTCTCTTGGAGGCGTTTATTGAGAGGTGGCAGCCGGATACCAACATGTTCCACATGCCGTTCGGGGAGATGACGATCACTCTTCACGCTATTTCATTCCTGCTCCAGATTCTAGTGGATGGAGAGTTACTTGCTGCACCAGCTAAGGGTGATCCGTCGTTCGTGAGTGGGATTGTTGATCTTCTTGGGATTCCAGATAAGAATGCAGTGGCAGCTAGTGATGGCAATTTCAACCCGCCCCGCGGGTATTACCCGACCTAACCCGCGATGGGGCGGGTATTACCCGACCCGTAGTAGCGTGGGGCGGGGCATGAGTATCTACTTCCGACCCGCCCTGCCCCGCCCTGCCCCGTTCTAGACTCATTTTATCTCAATTTCTTACAATATCTATACATATGTCTCCTATTTTGACTTTTCTTCAACTAGTTAGAGTCGATATTTCAACTTGTTAGGCTCAATTATCCATTCTATTATCAATATTTTTCATTCTTAAAGTGTTTTTCCCTACTTTTTATTGTAAAAAGTAAAATTTACTTGTATTTTTTTTGAACAACATGTAAGAGTGGGTCGACCTGCCCCGCCCCGCCCCGTACCCGCGCGGGTTTTACCCGCCCCGACCCGTAGTAGCGTGGGGCGGGGCATGGGAATTGAGGTACCCGCCCCGCCCCATTGCCATCACTAGTGGCAGCACGTGGCATCCGTTGGTATGACGGTGGTGGGATGTTGGTAGATGAGGCCATGACACGTCTACATGCTAGGGAGGATGGGGATGCTGAGGCACGATGCTATTTAATGTGTTTGATAGGGTCCACGCTTTTTATGGATAAGAGTTCTGATCATGTTCATGGATGGTTGTACTCTTACTTCAAAGATTTGCAGATGGTTAGTAAGTATGCATGGGGTGCTGGTGCGATTGCCTGGATGTATAGGCAGCTTGGGAGATCTAGTCGAGCAGGATCTAAAGGATTTTCTGGGTGCTTGACCTTGTTACAAGCTTGGATCTATGAGTATTTTCCATTGTTGCGCATTAACAGAGCTGCACCATAGACCGTGGCACAGGGAGACCCATTGGCTAGGAGGTGGGAGGGTCCCGTTCATGGAAGGGGGCCTAGTGAGGTTCCACGACGGTTGGATCATTATCGTCGACTGTTGGATGGCTTTACAGCGGACCACGTGGACTGGCTTCCTTTTGGTGCCCACCCTGGTCGTGCGGTACCTAGATCTTTGTATCGGGGGGTGATACGTATCTATGACGTGACTGAGGCCTACGATCCCTCACGCACTCTCCGTCAGTTTGGGTATAGACAGGTGATCCCTGATCCTCCTATTCGACCATCTCGTGTCAGTCGACCTGCTGTAGGGACCTATAAGGTCGTTTTTGGGGCCGACCTCGATCAGCTTTGGAGGTCTCGTGGTCAGCTGATCAATTTGGATGCCTACTCTACACCTTTTGACGACACAGTATCCGTTGACCCAGAGTACCTTAAGTGGTACACTTTGCGCACTCACACATGCATTGTCCCCCCAGAGATGGTGAGCAGCAGGAGGTGGCGTTGTTGACGTATGAGATGGTTAGTTTCTATGTTTTCCCCCTATTGGTAAATTTTATTTATAACATTTTATACTACTGTGGTATGATATACTAACACTAAATTTTATTTCTTGGACATTGCAGCTAGCATGTTAGATTATTGATGGTATTGATCCTTTGCTTCGTGCTTCTGATGGGGATCTTGACAGGTTGGGTCCTTATGGTGACATGATTCGACGAGTTCGTGACAAGTACATCGCTTTTCGCCAGCAGAGACCATACCGTCCACTTACCTTGTAGTTGTTATATGTTGAACATTGTTGTTTGATGTTTGGATGTTTGATGTTTGGATGTTGGAACTCTAGTTTGTTTAGGTTTAGGTGTTGGATATTTGTCATTTGATGTCCGGATGTTGGATGTTTGCTATTTTTATATTTGGATGTTGGATGTTTCATATTTGAGGTTTGGATGTTAGATCTTTGATATTTGTGTTTTTTTAGTAAATTTGCACATGTTACTTGATTAATTTAACCTAAATCTACATATTTTCTAACACAAAACATACACTACTTGATTAATTCCACGTAAATCCACGTAACTTCGAACACAAAGCACACACTAAAATAATATAAAAAAACACAATCTAAGGAAACAACACTTAATCACCCTCTTCATCATCGTTTGGATAATGTCCTCCGAGAATGGCATACAACGCCTGCTCTTGCTCGTATAACAAGTCCCAATCAGGAATTGATGTCATATTCCGAAAATGAGACCACTGTGGTGAAAAAGGAGGCATTGGTGTCACTCCATCGACATCATCGACTATGAGTCGGACCCAATGTGCCCCAGTAAAGACCAATGCCATAACAGCACTTGGTTGAGTGAACCCCTCCGGCGCAATCCGACAATCCAATCTGTGAACTACTGCCTCCAACGATCCATCTCTAGAAAGGTAAACACCCTCGTAGAGACCCCAATGGTTTCTAACCTCTGTGATGATATCTTGTCTCATTTATAGGTAGTGTCCCTCGTCTCCATGAATCGCCTGTGACATGGCCCGAAAACCACATTGCCCATCTGGTTCTGGGTCAAACCAACCTCTAACAAGAGGGTGGATGTTGGGTGGGACATAGCGAAGATAGGGGCAAACATTTCTCTCATTATGAACATGCATATGCTGATTTTTTCGTGCACCTACAACAAATGGAAAAAATAACTAATATAAATGGTCACATATTGGAAACCTTACAAATGGGGTGAATTGCAAACTTGGTCACCCATATTACTCATTTATAACACTTTAGCCACCCGAATCGAAAACCATTCAACCTAGCCACTGATACTACACGTTTATGTCATATTTGGTCACTCGCCGTCTAGTTCGGTTAAGAGTGTCCTAGGTGGCAGTCAACTCCAACGTTTGACCGTTAAAAATCTTATGTGTCATTTAAAACCAATTAATTAATAAATTTAAATGTCTTATATTTTACAGCTCACAATTTCAATTTTTAATTTATTTTAATAAAAATAGTTTACTTTACCCACTAACACACAAATCGCCGACCTCCTCATATGCCGCAATTCCGCCATCGCAATCTCCCCCGCCATCACCGTCGCACTCTCCGAGAGAAAAATAGGCAGAAAGAAACGGCGAAATCGACCCTCCGGAGAACTTTCTCCCAAATCTACCAGCTCCCTTCTGTCTCTCCCTTTACAAAATCCGTCGTCGCCGGTTCTTCCTCCTCCGACGCATGCTCCTATCCCTCTGGGTATTAATTTAATTTACACATAGGCTGTTTTTGTTCCATCAATCCCTTCATCATTGCGTTTTCACACCTTTGCTTATACACTCTCTACAGACAGCTTTCCGTAATCATCGATTGCTTTGCTAGCTTATCTCCTTGCTGATGCATGCCACTGATCTCTTGGTGCCTTTCTTCCAAAATTTAACAGAGAAAAGAAGCCCCTAAACGTACTCTAAGTGATTGCGGCACCACTGCTCCGACGCCGGGAATGGCTCCCGAGCGACGGCTATGTAACTGCTGGAACTTCCAAGAAGCCCGACCTCCCCGTCCTCTCGCCAATTATCTCCATCGCCAGATCATTTCGGCTGGGGGGAATCGAGGCCGCAAGTTATTCTCCGAGGCCCGCGTCACCCGCGTCAACGACAGGGATGCCCCGCTGCTGATTTTCTTCCAGATCTAGACGAGTTCTAAAGGGTTTACGTGCATGAGCATGCGTAGGGTTAGTTTGGTATTTTAGCTTTACTAAAACCTACGGTCAAACCTAGGTGATTTGTACTTTAGGGTTGTATATATAGCTCCTGTTATTGGCTCCGCAGCACACTTGAGAAAGCAATAAGAAAAGACAGAGAAGGGGTTCTCCTTCTCCGTGGATTAGTCTCGTTCATACTGAACGAGGATACCACGTAAATTGCTTGTGTCGTGATCCTTTTCTTATCGTATCTTAGATTTTTCATGGTATCAGAGCAGGTCAATTGAAGATCCAGAAAAATGAGCACGGGCAGCGCCAGCGAGAGCTCAATGGTGAGCAGTGGCGGTGGTTTGGGCGGACAGATTCCTCCGGTTATTCCATCCGGCTTGAGAATTCTAGCGTCCGACAATCCTGGACAGCTTTTTGTTGGAGAACTTCTGAATGACTCGAATTATGGCGAGTGGGTCACCGATATGACCGAAGCCCTCATCGCGAAGAACAAGATGGGGATGGTCGACGGGACGTTCGTCAAACCTGTGAATGAAGAGTTGTTGGGAGCGTGGCTCCAGTGCGATGCCCTAGTGAAGGGCTGGTTGAAGACAGGGATGGAGAAAGAGGTCCGGAACTCCATCCGATATGCTAAAACCGCAAGAGACATCTGGGTTGATTTGGAGTCTCGGTTTGGTCAGGTCTCTGCGCCGCGGGCGTACGAGTTACGACAATTGATGAGCTTGCTTCGTCAGGAGAAGCTCTCGGTCTCGACCTTTTATACGAAGCTGCGCGGCATATGGGAAGAGATGCAGACTATTACCCTGATTCCCAAATGCACTTGCGGGCTGTGTACTTGCGATATCGAGCGGCGGGTTCGAAACAATCTTGAGAGTGATCGCCTGTTTGATTTCCTGATGGGGTTGGATGAATCCTTCTCCACGGTCAAGACTCAAATCCTATCAATGAAGCCTACCCCTAATATTGCGGAAGCTTATCGTCTGATAGCAACTGAGTAGCAGCACAAAAATATAGCCGCTAGTCGTCGTCCTGCGGTAAAGGCAGCTGCTTTTCAGGCTCGTCCGGATAGAGATGAGCGCGATACGGGGCGCCGTGATGAATGGTCACACGAAGGAAAAAATTTTCGAGCTGATTGGATGGCCTGAAAAATGGCCCGAGAGGAAGCAACGGCAGGGAGAGAAAGGGTCTCGCAAGGGACCACGGAAAGAAGCTCCGAGGGCTGCTAATTCCTCCACCATGGCGGGAATTTCGATTCCTGGTCTATCTACTGACCAAATTCAGCAACTGGTTCAGTTTATAAGTCAAGCCAATGGGCCTGTCACTTCCACACCATCATCGGACTCCACGGCGAACATGTCAGGTAATTTCGTTTCGGATTCTGAGTGGGTTATTGATTCTGGTTGCACTGAATATATTACCAATAACTCAGGTTTGCTGGAGAATTCAAGGAACGTTTCAGGATATCTTCCGGTTAAGATCCCAAATGGGGATAGTATTCCGGTAACAAAGATTGGTGAAGTTAGCTTGTCTAGTGGAATGAAATTAAGCCATGTCTTGAGTATACCCCTCTTCAAGTGTAATCTTCTATCGGTGAGCAGGTTGACACGGGATTTTGATGTGGCCTTGATATTCTTACGTGATTTTTGCATCATCCATGACTTACACTCCAGGAGGATGATTGGTAGTGGGAAGCTGCGTGACGGGCTATATTACCTGCGATTGTTTGGAGCTACTAAATCGAGGGCGTTGGCTGCATCCATTGGTCGCATGAAGATGGATGAGGTGTGACACTCAAGGTTGGGGCATCCGTCGCAGGGTAAGTCAGGGTTACTTTTTGATGTTATTCAAAATAAAGGCAGGTTGAATTTTGTGATTCGTGTGTTCGTGCCAAACAAACTCGGTTGCCTTTTGCTAGAAGTACAATCAAGACTACTCGTTGTTTTCAGTTGATTCATGTGGATATATGGGGCAGTTTTAAAACCTCCACACATAGTGGCGCTCAGTATGTTCTGACTATCGTTGATGACTTCAGTCGTGCAACGTGGGTTTATTTGATGCGATACAAATCTGATGTGGAAAGACACCTTGAGGTGTTCATTAATATGGTTCAGACACAGTTTCAACAACAGGTCACTCGGATTCAAGCGGATAATGGGATGGAGTTTCAAACAGCTCACTTGCGGTCATTCTATGAAGACCGTGGGATTGTATTGCAAACGTCGTGCACTGATACACCTCAGCAAAACGGAGTAGTCGAGCGAAAACACAGGCATCTCCTTGACACAGCTCGGGCTCTTATGTTTCGTGCGAATCTGCCGTTGAAATTCTGGGGGGAATCAGTAATCACAGCTACTTATTTGATAAATCGGCTGCCTTCCAAGGCTCTTGGGAATCGCACTCCCTACGAAGTGCTCTTAGGCAAGGTTCCAACCTATGATCATCTCCGTGTTTTCGGTTGCTTGGCCTATGGAAAGGATACACACAAGAGTCTTTCAAAATTTGCAGAACGTGGACATCCCTCTATTTTCGTTGGGTACCCAGCAAATCAGAAGGGTTATCGGCTGTGGGACTTGGAAGCCAGGAAGTTTTATGTAAGCCATGACGTTATTTTCATGGAAAATATATTTCCTTGTCATGCTGGTGCAGGCTATTTCTCCCAGCCCTTGGAGAATTATTCTTCTTCACCTGCAGCTGTTGTTCCCGAAGCCGAAGAGGCCCCAGCAGCCTCGCCGATCACCCCCCAAGCGGACGACGTTCGGGAAGAAGAAGATGCTGACAACGCAGCATCTGAGGCCATGGATCCCTCGCCTGAGAACTCGGTCGATGACCAGGTTCCACCGGATTCGCCTCCGTCAGACCCGCCGGTGCGGCGTAGCTTGCGAACTCGCACCGTCCCTAAACATTTGGACGTCTACGAGGCCGAGCTGCCACCGTCCAACATACCCTATCCCATCAAGGATCACGTGGGTTACCATGCTGTCTCTCAACCTCATCGAGCCTTCTTGTCAGCAGTGAACAGGACTCCTGAACCTAATTACTTTCATCAAGCCATTCGTCACATCGAGTGGAGGGAAGCTATGAAACGTGAGATTAAGGCACTTGAAGACAATCACACTTGGACACTTGTTCCACTGCCGCCAGGGAAGAGAGCCATCACACCAAAATGGGTATACAAAATTAAGTACCATCCCGATGGCAGCATCGAGAGGTACAAGGCCCGGCTTGTTGCCAAGGGATTTACACAGGTGGAGGGGGTAGATTATCATGATACGTATGCTCCGGTTGCTAAGTTGGTTAGCGTACGTGCCCTTCTCTCAGTCGCTGTGGTTCGCGGCTGGAACGTAGATCAACTTGATGTCAACAACGCCTTTTTACATGGGGATCTCGACGAAGAAGTCTACATGAAGATCCCTGATGGTTTTGCGGCGCCTGGTGAAACTCGTGTGTGCCGTCTCCACAAATCCTTGTACGGATTGAAGCAAGCTTCTCGTAACTGGTACGCTAAGTTCACTTCGACTTTATTGGGTCTCGGTTTTACCCGTTCACGGGCAGATTACTCTCTATTTGTTCGGAAGACAGCTACCAGTTTTGTTACAGCCTTGATATACGTCGATGACGTCATTCTTGCCGGTGATGATCGAGATTTTATGGAGCATGTTAAGTCCACCTTAGATGAGCGGTTCGGTATCAAGAATCTGGGGCCGCTAAAGTATTTCTTGGGGATTGAGGTGGCCCGTTCACAGAAGGGAATAGTGCTCAGTCAGCGGAAATATACCCTTGATCTTCTTCAGGATGCAGGACTTACGGGGGGGCGTCCTACTTCTGTCCCAGTTGAGCAAAATCACCCTCTCACTCGTCCGGCTTCTGATGATGCTTCTGATGATGCGGCCTCGACAAATGATAGATCCGCTTATCGTCGTCTGGTTGGTCGATTACAGTATTTGACCGTCACTCGGCCTGATATTGTTTATGCCATCAATATTCTCAGTCGTTTTGTGCATTCTCCGACTTCCGCACACGTGGCTGCTGCGGACCGCATCTTGCGCTACTTGAAAAATGCACCGGGTCAAGGAATTCTGCTTCCTACCTCTGGGTATTTTATTTTGTTGGGTAATGCGCCTGTTTCCTGGCGAACCAAGAAACAAACAGTTGTCGCTCGTTCTTCAGCCGAGGCCGAGTATCGTTCTATGGCCAGTGCTGTCAGTGAGGTTCTTTGGCTCCGAGCTCTCCTTTGTGATTTGGGGGTTCCTCAATCTACACCCACGGTTCTTCACTGTGATAACCAGGCGGCAGTGCACATCGCGTCCAATCCTGTGTTTCACGAGCGGACTAAGCACGTTGAACTCGAATGCTACTTTGTTCGAGATCATGTTACCAGCCGCACCATTCTTCCTACGAAGATTGCTTCTCACGACCAGGTGGCTGATCTCTTTACCAAAGGCCTCGACAGTGACCAATTCCCCTATCTCCTCTCCAAGCTCGGCATTTGCAACCTGCATGCTTCGCTTGCGGGGGGGTAAAGGGTTTACGTGCATGAGCATGCGTAGGGTTAGTTTGGTATTTTAGCTTTACTAAAACCTACGGCCAACCCTAGGTGATTTGTACTTTAGGGTTGTATATATAGATCATGTTATTGGCTCCGCAGCACACTTGAGAAAGCAATAAGAAAAGACTGAGAAGGGGTTCTCCTTCTCCGTGGATTAGTCTCGTTCATACTGAACGAGGATACCACGTAAATCGCTTGTGTCGTGATCCTTTTCTTATCGTATCTTAGATTTTTCAAGTTCTAATGGAGCGTCGTCAGAACGACGACTTATTTCTCTGACGAGAGGGTGACTTCCTACGAAGGGCTTTTGTTGCTGGACGATGGATTTCTCTTATCCATTATAACCCAGAAGCAAGCTTGATGCCTTTTTTACATTCTTCTCTATCATTCAAGTTAACTCAGTGGTCGGAGAAAAGAGAAGGGCATGGGATTTTGTCTTTTTAATTTATTGGGTAACTAGTTGGGGAAGGGAGGGACGGAAGGGAGCCGGTCAAATGTTGGAGTTGAAATTGTGAGCTGTAAAATATAATAAATTTAAATATATTAATTAATTATTTTTTAAATGACACATCAGCTTTTTAACGGTCAAACGTTGGAGTTGATTGTCACCTAGGACAGACTTAATGGAACTAGACGGCGAGTGACCAAATATGACATAAACGTGTAGTATCAGTGGCTAAGTTGAATGGTTTTCGATTCGGGTGGCTAAAATGTTATGAATGAGTAATATGGGTGACCAAGTTTGCATTTCACCCCTTACAAATGAGACAAGATATCATCACAAAAATATTAAAATGATGCTAACCTGCAGGGGTTTTGCTCCTAGGTGTCCTCGGGCTCTGATTTGTTTTGCTCCTCTTTTCTGCCCTTGCCCTCTCATGCTCAAACGAAGAAGGATCTCGGGCGTTGGTCCTCTTAGGTGGTCGTCCCCTTTGAGCCTCTGACTCCCTAGGCTCTTGTAGGCCTTCAACTTGAGGATGAATATGGGGTCGTAGTATCTGAGTTTCCTTCCGAATAGCAGCTGGCCCTTGTTTGTACACATCCTCCACCATTACTGTAAAAATGTTACGCTCAATGGCATCATGGTCTTCCCATTCGGCACGATCGGGAGGACTCTCATACACCAAAGATGACCATAATCGATGCAAGTGGTAGGGATACAACTCTACGGCGACAACACTATATTCATCCATCTTACATTTACATGGTAGACCATGTGTCTCAGGTAGCCAACATCCACATCGCCGAACGATTTCCCTCTCTCATTCTTCCATCATCAACTCAATCGCCCACAAGCTTACTTCCTTATTCAAGTTTCCATATGGCGGTCCATAGGCTAATGCAAATACCTTTCCGAATCATGAATTTCTAAGTCAAAATCAAATTAAGGATATAGGGAAGTACTAATTTAAATAAGCAAAAAAATGAAAATACCTTGGAAAGTGATGCCTCTAAGTCCTTCTTCAATTCAATCACTCTTCCCTCGACGGATGTATGAAATCTGAGGAAGAGTGTATCGATCTTGTGGGTCGAAGTGGCAAGCCATTTCTTCAAAGAGGAATGCATTGACTCTACCCTATTTGTGCTTGTGTTACCAATATGGAAGACACGATTGGTGTAGCAATGAGCCCACCTTTCCGCGCATGGTATCCACTCACATCTGAGGTAGTCCATCAACTTTTCGTTTGTACCCCAATGACCATTTTGCAAGTCTCGCCAACGCCGTTGGAACCCTGCCTCGGTATTGGCATTCAAGACTCTCCCCCATGGACCTTCTATAAACCACTCTGCAGAATCACGACTGATCCCAAAAGACAACATTTTAGCTTCAATGTTCCTCTTCATGTGCCACACACATAGTAAATGAGCTGGAGATGGAAAGATCTGTCACAATGAGACACCCAAACCTCCCTCCTTATAGGTAACAAACGCATCTGGTGTTCGATCACCAAGCAGATGCTTCAATTGCATCAAAACCCAAGCATATGTCTCCTTCGTCTCATCCGACACCAATGCAAACCCAATATTGAATTTCTTCTTCACCGGACTAACACCAATCAACTGAACTAGTGGCTGCTTATACTTGTTGGTCTTGTAATTTGAGTCTATCAAAATGACGAAATACCATGCGCTCAACATCCGAATAGACTCTGGATGGCAAAGGAAGAGTCTAGAAACACGACGCTCATCATCAAACTCGCACTCAACAAAGTAATCGAGACGTTGAGCTTCTATCAATGTGCACCTCATAGGTTTCATGCCACCCAATCTCTCACGCCTAATCTTTTCTGTCTCGTTATAAATCTGCTTCATATGGTGATGAGCATCGTACTTCCTATTCACAAAACTCCTAATATCTCTTGCTTGAGTATGTGTTGCCTCCAACTCCTTAATATCCATTCTTCTCTCTTTCGAAAGAGAATTCCTTTGCCTACTTCCTTCAGAATAAACCTCCAATTTGTGATTGTGAAATCCTCTCGACTTACCCGGATTATCTTTGTCCTTAACACCAAAAATTCTCCACTCGCACTTGCCATCTACCAATGAACAACGCACTACCACTCGGAAACGACAATCAGACTTACCTGTTTTAGATTTGCTCTGTGTTGTTTTCGCCAAATCAGGAGTATATGACTTGTTCCTATAGCCATGGTTGCAATCCATATAGTACCGCGGATATTTTTCTGATGAGTGATTTTGCTTGACTGATCCCACAATCAAGAAAAACCTATTTCTCATGGCAATCTCTCTTGCAGCCGCACAAGCATCATCATGGGTATCATAAACAACATCATTTATGAAAAATGATGTGTAATCAACATTGTCACCCTTATCATTTCCAAAACCTCCCTACAAAAAATACACGGTATAAATATTTACGTTAGTCTTGAAACAATTATGTTGCAATCATTTAACTATTAAACAACAAAGAAATAAGGTATTTACCGAATCACTCATTTTAAACTTGTTATTTGATGATGATAGCGAATGAGGCTTCTACGCTTTGTCCTCCCTCCTACAAGCACAACAACAACAAAAATTAATGAACATATAATATATTTGAAGTGAATTTCATCAAAATTTGTCTAACAATTCACAAAAATCCATCTAAAAATCACAAAAACCGGCCCCAAGCATGTGCAAAACATGACTCGCCAATGGTTCAAACGTGCTGCACAGGTGCCTCTACCAGTTAGCGGGCATGTTCTTTATGGGATTACGCCGTTTGCAAAGCGGGTTGTCTACTCGCCTTATCCATGGAAAGACATGTGTCCGAAAGGGTGAGACGGCGGGACGGGCAGGCCGATTACAAGCCTCTCCATCAGCGCGGACATAAGATCGTCCCACCTGTCCACTGACGCGGGCATGTTGTCTACCCGCCTGTCTGATGGATCAAGCATGTGAATTACATGCTCAGCCAGAGGAACGGACAAGCTGTCTACCCGTTTCCTCCATGGAGAGACGTGTTTTCAACCTGCCTCTCCGGCGGCACGCACACAATTTCAACCCGTTTGTTCTTGTAACACCAGGAAAAAAAAAAGAGAATAATGCAGCATACCTTTGTTCGAATACTTGACTGCCGAGTGTGCCTTTGGCTCCGATGGTCTCGCCGAATCCAAATAAAACTCACCAATAAAGAAGAGAGTAGTTGAGAATTGTTGTGGTGTGGGATTTGATTAGTTTTTTGTTTGATGTTTCCGCTCTTTGTCTCTACAAAGAGTGGAAAAGTGTAGGACCATTATGTCCTACTATAATATATGGGTTTTAAACCCTAAAACCCACCCAAGGACATTTTGGTCATTTTACATATTTTAGGGCGATAAATTTAAATAATTAGGGCGACAAATAGGAACTCTCATAAAAAATCACTTGTGAATAAATTATACGTTTGGTCACTTAATTAATTAAATTTTTTCATATTTGCCACGTGCAAAATTTTCCTTTCCTATTGGTCACTAAAATAGTTTTAGTAAAACTTTATGTCTTGTTCCATCGATGGTCACTCGTCGTGGATGCAAAATATGAGTTTTTTTTGTGTACTGAGTTGTGGGTAAGGGTGGGAAACAATTTGGTTTACATCGGACCGAATCGACTCTCACACCGAATCAGATCGAACTGTTTATTTTTCGATTCGACTTTGGTTCCTGAATTTGGAAAATTTTCGGCTTTGGTTTGGTCCAGACCGAAATCGTATAATCATGCTAAGGATCGGACCGAATTGTAATTAAATTAGTAATTGCCTATTATATTATGCTCCCAGAAGGCAAGTCGACTTGGAGTTGAAAACCTTAGTTACCTACACAACACTTAAATACATATCAATATGATTAACATTCTCTGACTTAGACTCGTTGCTCCCGCTCCTATAGTCCTACCCTCCAAATCAAAGTTCTCATCGGCGTTGCTTCAATTAAGAGAGCTATTTACTTTACCTACACGCTGTGAACCAAGTATGAATATGCTTATATTGCAGAAGAAAGTCTTTGTAATGAATAGTGGAAATTCTGGAGATTGGGCGGTTCAACGTGCACTGGAAATGAAAATGGAAGATTAGAGAGGCAATTAGTTAGACTACCTTTGAGATCCAATAAAAAAACTTTTGTCTTTTAGTTTAAACAGTGGTTCTTGTTTAGCTTTTGGCATAATATTTTGGAACATGTGGTTTTTTAAGAATGGTGGAGTATTTAAATTGGGATAAGACCGAATCGAGCCATATATGAAAGATTAGTCGGTCCAATGAGATGGTCTAGACCGAATCGAGCCATATATGATATGATCCAGACTGAATCAAAGTAATAACGATTCGACTTTGGTCCTTGATTTAGAAGAAATTTTGGTCTGGTACGAGGATAGTTTGGGCCGGTCTTGGACCGAATCGACAGATGCCCACCCCTAGCAATGGGTGACTAAATGCGATATTTACCCCTTAGCTTGTACGGCTATTTCCCCGTTAAACAGTGTTTCGCAAGCCAGAGGGCGTACCACGCCATTAATACAGTCTCACCTAGTGGTCGATACATGGTGCTTGGAACACGATTATTCAACCCCCGATAGTAGTTTCGTATGGATAAAAAAAATATAATTTGTAATCTGGGACACCTCTAAAATTTTAATAAACGATTATCTTACCATCGATAGTAGTTTGTGTATGATTAAAAAAAATATAAGTGGTACTCTGTGTTATTTAAATCTAGAACACTCCTATTATTAAACATCTTCTCCATTAGGTTATAACTCATTTGTTGTTATATTTTAAACACTATGTAATGGTACAAACGCGATTTCTTATCCCTAGGGGGTACCCCTAATTTGAATTAATTTTATGGTTACACTGTAAGTGTTGAAACAGTCTTTTCAACTTTGAATTACATCATGAATAAGGTTAGAAATTGAATATGCGATCTAGTAGGATATACTGATTTGTTGAGCAGTATAGACACCAAATCTATCTTATATTTTTTCGAAATATGAAAATACATTGTGGCTTTGTAGAAATTGATGATGCGGAAGTGAAATAACACACGGGACACAAGATTTTACGTGGTATCCTCGATCGATTGATTGATCGAGACTAATCCACGGTGAGCTCATAAGAGATCACAGCTGATCTCTTATTAGGATTACATCTTGACGGCTTGCTTACGACAATCTCCGTAGCTAAGCTTATATAGACGTAGGGTTAAAACCCTAATGACAACCAAGTTTCCTTCTTTGACAATGACAAGGAAACAAGGGACTTGGAGGACAAGGAATTAATTATTTTTGACTAAATAATTAATATCCTCAACACTCCCCCTCAAGCGAAGACAGGAGTGACATGAATGTCGAGCTTGAAAAAGGAAATGTGACGAACAAGCATGACAAGCTTGAACAACATAACTCGAGATGAATAACATCTCGGACGAGGTTGATTTGGAGACGACTGACTCTCTCCCTTGAACAACCTGATGAAGACGGTTGACTGCATCTTCTTGAACGTCGTGACGGAGACGAACTTGACTTTTCGAGGAGACTGAGCAAACCACACAACCAACATCTTCATAGGACTGAGCTTGGGTCTGCGAATATGGAGACGATGGAGTAATCAACAACGCACGACAGGCAGAAGATGAGAGTGGAATTGACTGATGATGGCCGAACAAGGTACTGGACGGACACAGATGCTTGACGGGACAGATTGATTGCGGTCGAAGCAATCATCCAAACGCTGACCAGACCGTGACGATGGCAGACTGAAATGTGCGGAGATGCTTGACTGGCAGCCGTTTAGCTGCCAATGTTGCTTGACTCTTTGCTCCTTTAAAGGTGACGATCAATTAGATCCGCCGCAAAGGACGGTGACCTTTGATGCCAAGAAAACAGGGACCAGATCAGGTCAGTATCCTTGCTATCAGTAACTATCAGTAATCCAATCATGTGTCCCCACGTGTCAGCTTTTTCTTTTTATTTAAATTAAACAAGGAGGGGCACTAAGGTAAAGTTGCACCCCCTATTTAATGATGTCTCTTAAGCGCTGACGCTGACCATATCACATCAGCGTCTTCTCTCTTCTCAAAAAACCTTTAATTTTCCTTCTCTTAATCTTTAACAGACGATTTCTCACTCGTTTTAAGTCGGAATTTAATTTTTTTTGCAATTAGATCAGATTAATTGTGCTCTTCAAAATGATATCCACTTTGATATTTTTTAGACATAAAAAAATTTGTCAGTTATTACCAGTCTATTCCATATGGTAATGACTGGTATTGACCATACCATATGGTATGAAAAAATTTGTCACATCAATATATATTACGTTACCACCCAATACCATATGGTATAGTGTGGTAATATCAATATATATTTCGTTACCACCCAATACCATATGGTATAGTGTGGTAATATCAATATATATTTCGTTACCACCCAATACCTTGTTGTGCACAGTTGTTGCAGCATCTTGAAATTGACACAACTGTTGCACAGCAAAGGTTATGTCAGGTCTGGTGCTATTCGGGTACTGAAGTTGCCCAAGGAGGTGTTTGAACAAGGGAATATCAAGATAAGGTTCCCCATCTGAGGCAGAGAGGACTTGTTTGACACTTGATGGGGTTTTGGCTGGCTTGCACTCATCAAAACCAGCTTCCTTTAGGAGTTCAATGCAATACTTTCGTTGGCATACATGAATTCCCTTATCTGTTCTGCTAACTTCCAGGCCAAGGAAGTACTGTAACTCTCCCAGATCTTTCATCTTAAACAAGGACATCAACATCCTTTTAACTTCCTTAACTGCTTCAAGGCTAGCACTACCAACCACTATATCATCAACATAAACAATCAGGACAACCAAATGTCCTTGAACGGTGGAAAGGAAGATGGAATAGTCTGCAACAGACTGTTTGAAACCATTACTGAGTAAAGACTCAGTCAATTTTTCATACCACATTCGACTGGCTTGTTTCAGCCCATAAAGAGACTTCTTAATTCTACAAACATTTCCTTTGTACTCAGGCAGATCCCTTAATCCAGGTGGAAATTCCATGTAGACCACTTCATCAAGTTCACCATTTAGAAATGCATTGTTAACGTCCATTTGGTGTAAATGCCATTCTGAACAGAAGCAACAGCTAACAACATCTTAACTGAAGTGATCTTAGCCACTGGTGAGTAGGTATCACAATAGTCAACCCCATAAATCTGGGTATATCCTTTAGCAACTACCCTTGCCTTAAACCTTTCTAATGCTCCATCTGACTTGTACTTTGTTTTGTACACCCATTTGGAGCCAATTGGCTTAACCCCCCAGGCAAGTCAGTAATGTCCCATGTGTCATTAGCTTGAAGTGCACTGAACTCTTCATTCATGGCTGC